GTCTGTGTGTGGCCAGCTTAACCCACCAGGGGGCGGGGCTGGCTGGCATGTGGTGCTGGGGGATTGAACCGTGGTCCCTGTGCTTTGCTTAGCTTAGCTTAGCTTGTTCTAAGTAGGTGCTTTAGACCACTGAGCCATCTCACCAGCCCCGTTTTACCTTCACTCTTGCCTTATATCCCTCACTGGGACTATTCAGTCTCCTAGATGGTACTAACTCTAAACTTCTTTACAGAGATGCTGAGGATGCAATTTATGGAAGAAACGGTTATGATTATGGCCAGTGTCGGCTCCGTGTGGAGTTCCCCAGGACTTATGGAGGTCGGGGTGGGTGGCCCCGTGGTGGGAGGACTGGGCCTCCTACAAGAAGATCTGATTTCCGAGTTCTTGTTTCAGGTATGGCTCCTTTAAACTGAATGAGATGATACATGTAGACTACTTAGTCTGAGGCGAGGTATGGTGGTACATGTCTGTAATTCCAGGACTTGGAAGGCTGAGGCAGGAGGATCACTACAAGTTTGAGCCAGCCTGGGCTACATGGCAAGACCTTGTCTCAAAAGAAATTTTTTTCTTTTTGTTTTGAGATGTGGGCTTGCTCTGTAGTTCAGGTGGTCCTTGAATTAACTATGTAGTCCTCTTGCATCAGCTTCTTGAGCCTCTTGAGTGATGGGTTTATAGGTGCCCACCACCATATCTGGTTTAGAACATAAATACTTTCTTATAAGGGGGTTTTCTGTTGGTGAGAAAGGAAGATGATGACAAAATCCTTTCAGCTGGGATTCTAAAGTCATTTTAGTTTGGAACATAGCTTGGTATCAGACTTAAAAGAAAGACTGGGCCGGGGAGATGGCTCAGTGGAATAAGCGCTTCCCTGGCAAGCGCAAGGGCCTGAGTTCAGTCCCTGGTTCCGCAATAAAAAAAAAAAAAAAAGGATTTCCCAATGTTGCACCTACTGGCTATCACTAGCCAAAACTATCTTTGGGGCCAGGGAGCTGGCTCAGTAGAGGGTCTGAGTTCAATCAGTGGTTCTGCCAAAAAAAAAAAAAAAAAGACTTTCAGTAAAGGAGCAACATAGAAGAATTCACCCAACTTTGGATGCTGCAAAACGCTAGGTTTTGTGGTGGTTTGGGGATTATATTAAAAAGAAAACCCTACAACTTGGAAACTTGAAGATTATTTAAGAAAGTATAAGACATTGCTATCTAGTGTTAATGATGGGATGCTAAGCTAAAAAGCCTATGTATTTTTTTTTTTTTTGCGGAACCGGGGATTGAACTCAGGCCCTTGCGCTTGTCAGGGAAGCACTTATTCCACTGAGTCATCTCCCCGGCCCCAGCCTATGTATTTTTGAAATATTAATACAGTGGGAAATACTAATACTGGGAATTTCTGCACAGTGCATGCAAGTTTAGTGCTCTGCTGGAGTGAGTGATATGTATTGAGCAGTCTGGCATCTTTGTGTTCATTTTGCCACAGCAGGGCTAGGGAGCTAGCTCAGTGGTCTAAGTGGCTGACTGGCACACACAAGGACCCGGGTTTGATCCCTAGTACTGCATTCTGTGCCAGCCCTAGAACTCTGAGCATGCTGTGCCAGTCACCAAAACCATGGTGCCACACCTGTAATCCCAGCACGAGGGAAACTGAGACAAGAGGATCAATATAAGTCTGAGCTTCATAGAGAGACCCTGTGCCAAATAAATAAAAGATTTAAAAAAAAAAAAATTGCCACGGCATGGTAGATGCCCAGGTGCTTAAGAGTCATACTCAGCCTCTGCCTATCTTGTATCCTATAACTTCTTAACCCCAGAACTCTATTCCCTCCTTAGGATGTCATACATTCTTTTTTTTCTCTTCATGCTGCTCTGAAATCCTGCTTAGAAAACTATTAGGAAATGGCTGCAGTCCTGAGCTGTGAGCGGTAAACACAGCCTGTGAAAGCAGGAGCACATTTCCCTTTCATGACATCAGGTAGGGTTGTATGACTCCCGACTAGTTTTAGCATCTGAATAATACCTTTCTTCCCACTGTAGTGAAGAGTGTTGGTGATCTCTTATGAGGTATCTTGTCTAGTTTCTCAGTCATTGACTCCTGTAAGAAAATATTTATTTTTTTGTGGTTGTTACCCTTTGGCTACACTGCGGTATTTTGTTGGCTGGTTTCAAAATTCCATGTCCTGGGAAACCTGGGTAAGAAGTAATTGGCATTGAAAACTTCATATTGGAAAAGACTGGAACTTAGTTTTGCATTAACTGAAGGACAAAAAGCGTGTCAATTCTCAAACCTATAAGATGCTCTGTTGGGAAGGTTTTAGTCTCTGGAAGATTAGCCTAGAACCAGCTTCTTGAGGTGGTGTGGCATACATACTTGAGTGCTTTTCTGTTGTTTTGTGTCCCACAGAGAAGAGAACATATGAATTGGTGGCTCTTCACAGGGCAGTTAACATGGCTGAAAGATGTAGGCTCTTTGTTCTCTATGCCTAGGACTTCCTCCATCAGGCAGCTGGCAGGACCTGAAAGATCACATGCGAGAAGCTGGGGATGTCTGTTACGCAGATGTGCAAAAAGATGGAATGGGGATGGTTGAATATCTCAGAAAAGAAGATATGGAATATGCCCTGCGTAAACTGGATGACACCAAATTTCGCTCTCATGAGGTAGGTCTCTTATCTTTTATTGAGTTGCCACGTCACTCTGCCTGATCCTAAGCTAGCAGTACTATAGTAGCAACAGGCCCTAGCAGAAGTAGCAGCGGGCTATGCAGTTGTCATTTTATTACCTCACAGTATCATTAAAGATTTACTTTAAGTGAACAGAGCCAAGGAATGTGTCATGCTTAAACCCTGGAAGGTCATGGAACAACAAAGTATTTATAATTATTTTTAACCTGAAGAAAATACTCTTGTCTGTCATAATATGGTGATACCAGCCTTTTAAAACTGGTTTAGGGGCTGGTGAGATGGCTTAGTGGTCTAAAGCACCTACTTAGAACAAGCTTAACAAAGCACAGGCACCGCGGTTCAATCCCCCAGCACCACATGCCAGCCAGCCCCACCCCCTGGTGGGCTGAGCTGGCCACACACACACACACACAAAATTAAAATTAAATAAAATTTTTTTTAAAAAACTGGTTTAGATAGCATTGGGCCTTATGGCTATCCGTCCCCTCTGGTTGTAGTGTGGGTCAGCTTCATTGCTTCTAGAGGTAGTAGGCTCAGTTTTCCCTTCACTTTCCATTTTTTTCCAGCATAGTGCAGGCTTTTTTTTTTCCCCCTGTATTTAGGACAGGGTCTCTCTATGTAGATCGGACTCACAGCAATCCTCCTGTTTTCAGCCTGCCAAGAGCTGGGATTACAGGCATGTGCCATCACATCCAGTCTCCCTTGACATCTCAGCGTGCCCCATGGGCGGGGCCAGCTCAGCAGGCTGGGCTGAGCCCCACCTGCTGTGCTCTCCCTAAGCAGAAACTCAGGACCTTTTGAATTTGGAACAGAAACAGAATAGCACCTGGTCCTCGATACACTATAAGGGAGGGCTTCTTCCCTATGGCTGAATCCAGTGGCTTTCACCTAAAGGGAAAAAACATTTAGTTTCCTTCACTTTGTATCTTTGGATCTTCTGAAATGTTGGGTGAAGGCAGAGGGCCTGGAGTTTGGCCAGCTTGGATATAACTTGAATTTCTTAGCTGAGCTAGTCTCTGAACCCCATATGTTCAGTATGCAAAATGACCTTATTAATAGTATGGTCAAAAGCCAGGAAGCCAACCTATGAGAGTAATTAAAGCATCTAGGCCCATGTCCTAACCCTAGCAGATGTTGAATACAGGCTGCTAGCTTCTTGCACAAGATGATGTCTAACATGTTAAATTGCCATTTATTGTCTTTCTTGCGACTTTGGACAAATGAAAAAACTTGTCTTTTTTTTTTTGTAAATTTTATTC